TGGAGTCTACCATTGTTATACTTCCAGAAATAAGTGACGAGGTGCTGGTGGCGCAGGCAGCCATCTTCTTGCAGGGAGGCTTCGATACTACGGCCTCCGCTCTCGCCTTCATCACGTACGAGCTGGCGCATCTGCCAGATATCCAGGTATATGACTGTATGCCGCTTGTGTACTGATAATTTGTCATCATCACCAGCCATACGTTTGGTTTTATATATCATCATCTAGTTTTCGTTGGCGACTCCGTAAGCGTGGAATTAAAAAACAAAAGTAAGAAGCCTATGTGTTCTTCCAGACTATCCTCTTCATCTTTGTAAAATATCATCGAAATCCGTTTAGTAGTTTAAGCTACAAACTTTAACAAACATGCATACATCTAAACTTTCGCATTTATAATATTAGTATGTTATATAAAGAGGAAAGGTTTATATTTTTGTATTTATTAAAATTACTCTAAAACTGATGGGCCGATTTTAAAAAATCTTTCACCATTAAAAAGCTACGTTATCAGTGAGTAACGTAAACTACATTTTTATAAATTCTCTCTAGTAATATAATTGGTTTCAGGACAAGTTGTACGATGAAATGATAGAGATAAAACGAAACAGCGGTGACGCGGAGCTCGATATAGAGCAGCTGCAGGCCGCTAAATATCTAGATTGTGTTATTAAAGGTATGTACTTAGTGCTTTAGATTTTATACTTTTACAATTATTTAATCGAAAATATCGCTCTGATTTTTGTAACAACTTATCATAACTGAATAATCGTAATTAAGATCTCCTTATTATTTTAATCTAGAAATTGACTTACGAAATTCATTAAAATAGAAGTTATACATGTGTCGATATTTCTGTCATCTCCAAAGCCAGTCACTGGCATGCTGTGAACACGCGTTGTTGTTGTGCAGTTGTGCAGAGTATGCCAGTATTGATTGAATAAACAGACAACTACGCGATACTCGCGCCGCTAATATTAGTTTCATAGTATAGTACCAGTATTTAGTATTGTATTTGTACTTATAGTATTGTACTCGTATTTATTACTTGTAGTACACTAGTATGTATCTGTACTTATTACTTATTTTATCTTATTATTAATTTCTTAAAGAAGAAAGATTCATATTTTTGTATTTTTGGTCCATTCACGTATAAACTACTGGGCCTATTTTAAAAATTCTTTTACCGTTGGAAAGGTAATTTATCTGAGAGTAACATGGGCTGTATTTTTTTAATTTCACGCCGAAGAATAACAAATAACTAACACACCTGTAGTTCTCCTATTGTTGTCAGGAGCGTCGGAGTACCTATTGCTAGATTTTCACTTATATTTCAGAGGGCCTGAGGAAGTATCCGCCTATGGGTTGGCTGGACAGAGTGGCGGGGGTAGACTATGAAGTGGACGAGACGTTAACCATCCCCGCAGGCACCCCCATCTACGTGAACGCCATCGGCATGCACTACAACCCCCAGCACTACCCCGACCCCCTAAAGTTCGACCCTGATCGTTTCCTGAAAGAGAACGACAATGACATTAAATCCTTAACTTATATCCCATTCGGTGAAGGGCCCAGGATGTGTATCGGTAAGTTCCAATTGACATTAAAAGGGGCCAAGAGCATTTGGCGGGGGATGTGACGCATAGGTATAGGAAATTTTCTCTTTCTTTGCATCCTTTCCTTTGTTGGTTAAATGTAAGCATCTGCAAAGGAAACATATAGACAACGGTCGCTTTGATATTTCGGTGAATTCCGGTGGTCATTTATCACCTACTGCAAAACGTTATCTTCATTATTGTTTTAAGGTGCATGTTCTTTTGCGTCACTTGTTTACTTAAACTTCTATTTATTTATCAAAGAAATTTTTTGTGTCAAAGAACTATATTAGTGTTATTTATGTCGCCAGGTCGTAGATTCGCGATGCAGAACATGGCTCACACACTATCCAACATAGTCCTCAATTACAAGATCCTGCCGACCCCCCGCGGCCCGCCGCACACCGACATACCCATAGAGAAGAAAGGTTTATTCCTTTTCCCAGGAGAAAATCTGTTCTTGCAATTCGTACCCAGAAATGTTTGAAATAATTTTTAATGGCGCAATGAATTTTTTGTACTAAATCTACATTTGAAAGAGTCCTTATTTACCTTTTTGAATGAATCAGTTAAGTGAAATAGTTTCTTTTACAAGTTTACATAATGTAATTTAGTCAATAAATACTTGTTTGAAATTAAAATAAACGAATTATTTATAATAAATATTTGTATTTTAGTAGTCTATTTCAAAAACATTGAAAGAAAAACACTTTTGCGTTTCACAGAACCCTTTGATGCATAAATGGGATCGTATTTTGCGATATTTTGTACAAATGCAAGGTAAAGCCACACTGTAAAGGTAAGCTTTCACGGTGACAAATTCTGAGAACTGCCGTTTGATTTTAAAGGTGTAGTTCGTCGAAACGCAAATTCCAATATTTCTGTGGTAATGAACGTTTATTGCATACGTGTTATTTCGCTGCTTGTGTAAATTAAAATCAACTGATTTTAAGTACTTTCTATTTCTTATTTTTTAACTACGGGAGACTGTTTTATATCAAAATAATGGTTTAAGTCCTAGACTCAAATATTGTGTATAATTTCTCTCCGGGCGACACGAAGATCCCTTTCTCTTCAATATGGATGTGTGCGGGCAGCGCGGCGGCGGGCGGCGGCCGCCAGCTGTAGCGGACAACGAGGTGACACAGCGCAGTCAAGAAAGTCTGCTCTCCGAAGCGACGACCTGACAAATAAAGGAATATACAATAGAACCTCGACAACTCAAACCTCTATAACTTAAAATATTTTGTGTTTTGGACTTTAACTTATCGAGGTTCTAGTGTTCATATTTTCTTTGGCGGCTCTTTGCCGCGCTCGACGTTCGCTGACATACTTTTCTCAGTAACCTGGGGTGTGGGTATTTTTAATTTTCAAAATAAAGATATACAGAATTCTATATTTAAATTTACATCAATCTTATCTCTATATCACAGTTTTATTACATTCTCTAGCCTAAAACAGTAAAATGAAATTAAAAATGAATAAAATCTTACTAAAACTTAAATAGAGATTCATATTACACGTTTGTAAAAAGAGATCTATCACATTCCCGCCTGCATCTTCCTTCTACCAGCTACTTCCAGTCAAAGTCCCGACCAAATTGGTCCTCCAGTTGCAGAGATAGCGCTCCGGTAGCCATTACGACGCGGAATTAAAAAAATGTAGCCTATAACATGCCCCTCAATGTCAGCTACCCTCCAGTGAAAGTCCGGTCGAAGTCGGCTTAGCCATTTCGGAGATTACACGGAACAAACACGGCTTGCGGACAGACAGACTAAAATTTTTAAATGCAATTTTCGTTATTAGCAACAGAAATACATCATCTTCCCGAAATCTGGAATCTTCATTTGATATTATATGTGTAAGAAGAATGTTGATTATTTAACTATACAGGCAAAAAAATAACCAGAGATCAATAATAAAAGAAGAAAAGTGTTTTCGTTACCTATACACATTCTTGGTCCTTCCCCGAAAGGTATATAACTAAAAGGCGGTATTTTCTTCTCGTTTTCTGGCAGAAATCTATCAGGATTGAACTGCATTGGCTCGGGGAATATGTCAGGGTCGTAATGCAGGCCGAGAGCGTTGACGTAGAGCGGGGTGCCGGCGGAGATCGTCAACTTGTCGTCGATGCGGTAGTCGGCGGCCGCCACGCGGTCCAGCCACCCCATAGACATGTATTTTCTAAACGTTTCTAAAATAATATTAACACTATAATTACTATTAATATAAAGATACCACTTCTAGAATGAAAATCAGTGCTATTGAAAGGGTTAAGATGTAAATCTAACGCTGTTATATCAGTACTCTATACTAATAAAATAAAGCGTAAAAACACATCACTTTGTGGCGTAAGATGTTAGCAATCACAGCAAATTTTTGAATATTTTCTTCTATAGGCTACATATTATCACGCTTTTAAACTTAGGGGTTAAATAAATTGGAAAAAAACATCATGTGTGAAAGGGACCACAAGCTACAAGCTGCCAACATCAAGAAAGCAAATGTCAATTAAACAATGAAATATTTTTTTATAATCTAATGCGGATGAAGCCGCACGGGTACAGCTAGTTTTATACAACAAAAATAAACCGAGCGCAAAGATTATTTTCTTGTGCCTGTGAACTACAAATATGGTTAGTTAAAATGTAGTTAATTACCTTTCATAACACACTGCATAAGTGTTAATTCATTGAGGGCGCTTGGATCGAGATCTTTGTTCCCGTTTCTCTTCTTAACTTCACACACTTCTTTATAAAGTTTCTCCTGAAACATTATAAATTTGATTTTTAATCTAATTTTTAATTAACTAGTTTGTTGTATTGCTTTACTTTGATATGATATAATTGGATATTTTTTTTTAAAATCGTGTACACCGGCTCATCTTAAAGAAAAATAATTAAATGTTTTACTTGTAGCTGTGGAAGGAAAGCCAGTTCGTAAGTACAGAAGGAGAGCGTGGAGGCGACCGTGTCGTAGCCGCCTTGCAGGAATATCGCCGCCTGCGCGATCAGTGTGTCTTCTGAAATATCTGGAAGAAAATACCGTTTACTCTAAATTTATTGCAGAAATTTTATAAATTTATAAGTAGAAAATGATCGAGTACCTTTATTTTCCTTTTCATAATCCTGTTTGATTTTGCGCAGAACATTTATGAGGTCATTCTCAGAGGTGTCACCGTAGTACCCGCCGCGCTCTGCGATTATTTTGTAGTACACCTTCCTGAAGTATGTCACTGTACTCTTTGGGAAGAAAGAAAATCTGAAATATACGAGTGTTTCTTTTTGAAGAGCCAACGATTGTTAAAGATGAAGATTGTTCATTTGAATTCTGTAGAATATTCGATCAGACAAAATACATGGCATGAATAATTTGGTCCTATTAAAGACTTACCCAAAGACGTCCACCATTTCTGGGAAGAAGAATATACAAGCCCAGGCGAAACCGCGGAGCGCGCTATACTTCATGAACTCCTTGGTGACGGTGCGCAGCGCGCTCCGCCCCGACAGCGTCGCCTCGCTCTCCACACCAAAAGACGTGGTACCGATCACGTCCGTCGAGAAGTCCGTATACATCAACTGTCGATAACACCATTGAAGCAAGGCAAGGCAAAGGCAACAGACGCAGTTGCAGCTACAATATCTTAAAAAACCGATTTTAACTGCCTTCTTATCAATAAGTATATTTTACTGTAAGGTTTCCGAAGGTATAATTGCCCTATTGGCCTTCATTCTTATTATCTATCGCTGCATCTTACATACATTTGGTATTTCTTTTTTAAGCCGATAAATGCTTACTTTGAGGTCGACTCGACCATTGGTGTCCATGTCATTTTGTATCCTCTGCATGAGCTGCTTGCTCTTAAGGGTCATGAAGGGCTGCAGGTGCCGCAGCCGCGACGCCGTGAACATCACCGTGAGGCGTCGCCGCATCTCTGACCATGTTGGATCCTATCACGGGACTAACTTAGTTACTTAT